ATGTGAAGCTGCAAGAACAATGCTCTCTTTTGCGAATCTGTCACTCTACTTCTGGGCTGATGTAATTGCAACCACTTGTTTCACACAAAATCGCTCTATTCTCAACAAGCGATTCTCAGTCACTCCTTTTGAAATCTTGAACAAACACAACCCAATGTTAAGTTTTTCCATGTTTTTGGCTGTCGCTACTTCATTTTCAATTCTAAGGAGCAGAGAAACAAATTCGATGTGAAGGCTGATGAGGGTATTTTTTTGGGATATTCGCTGACCTCCAAGGCATATAGGGTTCTTAATAAGAAATCCAAAAGGATTGAAGAAACCTATTATGTTATGTATGATGATAATTATCTGATGAGGTATCAGCACACTGTGAATCAATCATAGTGGATCTTCCCACAAGCGAACCGGTCAACCACTCCACTAGCCAATCTCTATGAAGAATTCATGCTATTATTTGACGAGCCAATGAAAGCAATATCATCAAAATCTCATGTAACAGACAACAAACAGGATGAATTGAAGAAGATAATTGATGACGCTGCGAATGAAATACACAAAGAGCCACCAAGTGCGAATGTCCTTCAGGACATGAACACTACATTCGAGGGGGAGAGCTTTGAATTACCTTCTAATGCATCTTTTCAGGGTGGATCACTCTACTCTACAAGACGCTCACAAAAGTCCAACCCAGGTGGAGAACATAGCACCTGAAGATGAGAAATTCACATCATTTGAGGGGGAGAAAGACTATACGAATGATGATTCAGATACACAATCTGAATTTGAAGATGTGAATGCTGAACTGGATCCTTCCCATGATCCAAACTATCCTCCACTGACTAAATGGACCGAAGATCATCCGAAAACACAAGTCATTGGTGAGTCATCTGTATGGGTTCTTACAAGATCTCAACAAAAAACGAAACAAACTGCACTATTCTATAAAATGGAATTTTGCATGTTTACTTCGTTTGTTTCAAAAATTGAACCAAAAAACTGTGAATGTTGCTCTCGATCACTCTTATTAGGTCCAAGTAATTTAAGATGAGCTTAATGAGTTTGAAAGGAATAATGTATGGAGATTGATTTCCACTCCACCGGATGCATCTGTTGTTGATCTTAAATAGGTGTTTCAAAACAAGTTAGACAAAGAAGAGACCGTGATCATAAACAAAGCGACACTTGTCATCAAGCAATATTGTCAGGAAGAGGGCATAGACTATGAAGAGACCTTCACACCCGTTGCAAGGTTGGAATCTATTTGCATCTTCCTTGCATACGTTGGACACAGAAACTTCGAGGTATTTCAAATGGATGTTAAATGTGCATTATTGAACGGGGAACTAGAGGAGACTGTGTACGTGGAACAACTACCTGGATTCGTAAACGAGAAGTATCCTAATCATTGCTACATTTTAGACAAAGCGGTTTATGGTCTAAAGCAAGATCTAAGAGCCTAGTACGAAACTCTCAATCGTTTTTTAAAAGTGTCTAAATTTAAACAAGGTTCGGTTGACCCAACCTTCTTTTGCAAGAAAAAGGGTGACCACTTAATGATCGTCTAAATTTATGCTGATGACATTATATATGGATCCAGTAATCCCAGCCAAACAGCTAAGTTTCGAAAGCTAATGGAAACGAAATTTGAGATGAGTTCAATGGGTCCTATTGACTTTTTCCTTGGATTGAACATAAGACAGATCCAGGAAGGTATTTTTATAAATCAGGAGGCATATACGAATACCTTTCTAACTAAGTTTGGGATGTTAGGAGACTCAAAGATGAAGGTTCCAATGGCATTCAGAACAAAACTTACTCAATCTTTGGATAAACCGGTTGCAGTCATGATACTCTATCGTCAAATGATAGGTTCTTTAATGTACTTAACTGCGAGCCAACCAAATATTATGTTTTCAGTCTGTTATTGTGCTAGGTTCCAAGAGAATCCTTGAGAACCACACATGGTTACGGTCAAGAACATATTCTGGTATTTAAAACAAACATCTTCACTAGGAATATGGTATCCATCGAAGTTTGGTTTCTTTGTACAAGCATTTTCGGATGCTGATCTTGGAGAATGTGGGCTAGATAGGAAGAGTACAACCAGAGGATGCCAATTATTGGATGACAAGCTCGTAAGTTGGCAATCCAAAAAGAAAACTTGTGTTTCCTTGTCCACAGCTGAAGCCGAGTACATTGTTGCTGCCTCATGTACTTCATAGGTCATATGGATTCAAAGTCAACTTCGTGACTATGGCCTAAACATGAAACGAATCCCATTATACTGTGACTCCGAAAGTGCTATTCGCATTTGTCACAACCCAGGGAAACACTCAAAGACGAAAGACATAGCACTGAGGTATCACTTTATAAAGGATCATGTGGAAGATAGCAATGTTGAGATACATTTCATAAGGTTCGTTGATCAGTTAGCTGACATATTCACGAAAGCCTTACCAGAAACGACCTTCAATAGAATACTTCAAGGCCTAGGAATGATGGAAGCTGAGTCTATTCCAAAACCACTTTGGCATTCATCAAGTTGTCACTGAAATTGGTGAAAACGCTAGCAACGATTCGCAGTCTACTTGACATTGTGAATCGGTGCGAACGCTCGCAGTGATTCATACTCAACTATTCATTCGTGGTTCGGATCCTCTTATATCCTTTTGTATAATATGTACATTATTGTCTTTACTTGTTTCATTTTTAATTTCTTTATGTTTTAATTTCTTTTTTTAGAAAAACAAAAATACAAACATATTTTTTTTTTTTTTTGTGTTTTATTTTTTATATTTTTTTTCACAAAAATTATAAAATACCAAAAACAATAGATCATTGAGTAGATTTTTAAGGCACAAATTCATAGTCATTCTTAGTTCCTAAGATGGGCCAGGTATAAATATATTACCTTTGTATTAGCTAAGTGTCCCTAGAAGCATGTTGCTGCATGTTGGTTGAAGCCTTGACTACTCTATGTGAAGCCTTAGTGAATCGATCGAACCAATCGTTTCTTCCCAATAAAGCTATTAAATTCACATAATTCATGATCTACCTTACTCTTCTCAAATTGTGTTAAGAGTTTTCAGCTTGGTCACTTTTGTATAGCAGAGGTACATTCGCTTCTCTGGAACCACCTTCTTATTTCTCCATCACCTTTCGTTTTCATACATGTAACCCTTGAGACTCTCAGAAAATACCAATGAGGTTTATGGTTGCACAATATTTGTGTTAATGATCTTGGTTTTGCACAACCACGAGCTAAGTGAAACCCAAAATCCAACACACTTTAATGAATTGGCGGTGAACATTTAAACGCTCAATATTTTCACCAAGGAATTTACGAAAGACACTTTCATAGCCTGTACAAAGAAATCTCTTTATCTTTTGCAAAATGTTTATGAAGTGTTCTAGTCCCAAGACATTTCTTCCCATAAGATCCAATTTTAATTTTTTAAGATTTCTAAAATTATCTTTGTCATTCAAATACTTCCAAACATACTCGTTCAACTGACTATACCGGTGACACGAGTACTTCATCCGAACGCTCGTACTTATCTCAAGTTTTGGTATTTAGTTGAAGATAAAGCCACCCTGTAAGCCTAATAAAAAGATGCCTTTCAATGTTTCTTAATAAACAATTGATCGTATTTCAACGGGAGTCACACAGAAACTTCTTAGTCCCTCTTGACTTTGAAGGAAGAGATCTATGCCCGGGATCCATGGTTCTGTATCTTATTAGACATCACTAGAATCCCTTAGAACTTATTGCTTTATTTCTGTATCTTTGGCACACTCTTGCATGAAGATCCTAGTGATCTTTCCAAATTCTGGTTCGTGGTTCTCATGGTTCATCTAAGTTTCGTAGGGCTATCATTAAAGTCTCACTGCGAAAGGATATTGGCCTCTACAAATGTCTCATCTATGAAATGATTGCGAAAGAGTATAAGATAACGTGGCAGTTTATCTGGATAGAAATTAAAATGGGCATGTGAATTTTTGAACGGACATTTCCTTTTCTATCGTACGAAACACGCTTCTGACGTAACAGTTGTCAAGTTGTGCTTTTTCAGGCGATGTTTTAGTTCCCCAAGCAATCTCTCTCTGGATTTCTCTCAGCGAACAAATGTTATAAAAGGGTTTTTTGCGCTTCATATATCCTCACCACTCACACAATTCTCTCAAAGATTTCTAGCAATCAAAGCATTCCACTATTCATCTTCTTTCTCAAGCTATCAACATTGGCGGGTTCTTCTGAAACTCCCTCTGTTCAAGAAGTGCAATCTTTACTCCTTGCCATTATGTAGAATCAGAATCGGGTGATCGATCTCGATCCGTACAATGATAGTTATATGCTTCCTATTGTTGAATGTCTCACATACTTTTCATTGACTGTCGCACTAACCAAGATGGAAACCGTCCCGATGTCGCTTTTATCTAAAGCTTATTCTTATGCAATTTTTATCAAGGAAGAATAGAAGATTACGTTTAAGATACACACTTGCAAAACCTCCATCTCCAAATCTCTATTTTTCTTTGTTCTAGGGCTTCCTTAGTAAGACGATTTGATTAATGAAGCGGTGACTACCTCCGCCGTCTCCAAGTTCCAGAAGCCTAATCTGCCGCCCCAATAGAATGGTCTCTTCACTCTATTGTTCAAAGCTTTTTCTAAAAGAGTGACTACATCAGATTGTGTAAGTAAGCTGTTCATGGAGATCATTTACAGCATCTACACAGTTCTTAATATTGATTATGGGTCAATTCTATGGGCTCAAGTTATTCAGAGCACCAACTCAACCAGACATCACAGTGAAGTCTCATGTGTACGTTTTTGGACCATCATCATCCATAGGGCCATTGAGAAACTTCAAATTCCAGTGATGCAAGATGCGATGATGGCATCTATTTCTATATTTTACACCACATGGATCATTGTTGTTGATACTTCTAAGTTCTCTTTTGTTGGATCAATACCAGAGGCAATGTTTCATGGCATGCCAATGGCCAGCAAGATTTTGGAGGGATACCAGAAACTTCCTGTTACAGGATTTCATCCATTGATTCCTGAACTAAAAGCGATAATCTCTGAAGCAGATAAACCCAAGAAGGGGGGTCAAATAGGTGGGACGAAAGGAGGAAAGAAAACAAAGGGGCAAGAAGGTCCATCTACTCAAACTCAAGCCCCAAAGAAACGAAAAGGTTAGGCTAGTTCACCTGCACCCAAAAGGTGAAAGACCGAGAAGTCAGATCGCAAACCAAAGTCCCTAACCCCAATTGAAAGCGAACACTTGGAGTTTGACACTCAATCATATGTTCACATTGAGGAGAATAAGCATGTTCGCAATGAATATGTTACATCAAACCTTGAGATAACTCCTACTTACAATGATTTCTTTCCATCTCCTCCTCTTTCACCTAAAACAACATCCACTACGACAACAATTACTATTGCACCTTGCCCCCACCAGTCTCTTCTCAAACACAAAGTAGTATTCCTTTATCTACTCCATTATTTTTCTGATTCTATTACTCCACCAACAACATCTGTAGAACCTCCTGTTTCGATCAACTCATCTGATGCAGGGGCAGATACTTCACGTTTTACCACATCTCACATTTCTCCACCCATTTCCCCAATTTGTCAAGATGACCCAGACATGATTTATGGGGATAATGAAGATGACTTTTCATGATTCACCTTCTATCCATTCACTATCAGGACTGAGAGTGATGGCGAAGCTCCAGTAATGAGGGGGAAACTTAAACCCATTCATGAAAAACTTGATTTTTTGATTCATGCTTCCACATCTTCATCCACTGATGAATATTCTCAAACAACAATCAAGTCCCTCTTCAAGACACTCACCAACGAATATTCAACAAATCTTTAAAAGATGAACAAGGTAGTTGATGCCTCTGTTGCTGTCTGCACCAATACGACCGAAAGAGTCGATAAACTAATTTCTGATGCTATAACTTTCATGAACAACTTCCAAATCTCCTTTGAGTCCAATACAATGAAAGCTAATGAAGCCATTGCGAATCTCAGCTCCTCTCTTAAAACTGAAAGGGAAAAACTTCTAGAAGTTCGAACAGGCATTACTTCTGATCATGAAGAGTTCAAATCCACCATTTCTTCTGAATATTCCAAGCTTCAAGAAGATCTTGGATGGATAGTAAGATAATGGACTCCCTCACTGTCAAGACTAAAAAACTTAAAGTTCTCTCTATCAAACTAGAATAGGCTGAGAAACAAGTCAAGGATTTGTTATATGAGAGGCTAGTCATGAAAAGATGTATCACAGACGTTACTGGCTTGTTTAAGATATCATTAAGACTAGGGAATCAATGATCACTATTTCAGTTAGAAAAATTTTAGCTGAAAAGCTCCGGCCAGTCTTTGCTTTGCTTCATCATTTAGAGGGTGTTTCAGAATCAAACAACATCACGAAACAAGGGGGAGATTAGCCAAAGAAGCCATTAGCCAAACCAAAAATAAAAGCGAATATGATCCTAAAGGAAAAGAAAAGATTTTATTTGAAGAACCAATCGTTGATAACAGTGGGAAGGAAGAGCTAGATGAAGACGAACTTAAAAGGAGAAAGGCTTGTGAAGCTGAGTTGGATGAGAATCAAAGAATTGTCCGAGAGGCAGAAGCTAAAGAAAAGGCAAAAAGAAGCTTAGGTCACACTTGAAAGAAGAAAACTTTTGTTTCTTGTGTGGACACTGCAGTGAATCCAGAATGAAGTTGTAGACTCTCCAAATCAATACTAGTTAGAACCGGTTGTGTCCTTTGAAGTTTCGAAAACAAAAGACTGACAATTGGATCTTCCAATAACTCCTAAAGAATTCATGTTTCATTCTTTCATAAAATTTGTGAATGTCCCTTCTACCGACAATGATGATGATCAACTACTCTTCGCATAATATCTCAAGCACATGAGGCCGCAGTACAATACATGGAGTGCTAGCAATATAACGACAATGAAGGTCATCGGACCAATTGAGACTGATAGTTTCCCCAATGCAAAATTCCAAGTTGTCAAAGGTTCTACGAGTCAAGTTCACGAATTCACTCTTGCAGACCTACTGTGTATCAATCCATATGATTGGATCATGCTCTACAACTTGTTGCTGAGAGACAAGAAAAAGTACGAGCATGTTATCGCTCACCTCAAGTTCATGATTATTTTGTATATTCAAGAGGTTGGAAATATGGATGTGGAGATAGCTGTCGTGTTGCAAAGGAAGCCTTCTGATGTCCCTAAAGAAGCTCCGGAAGGGTTTGAGAAGTTAAAGCTAGGAAAAATTTACAAAGAAAGCTGGTATGTGGTATTTCAAGTAAGCGAACAAAACGATGTTGATTTTCATAAAGCATGTTTCTTCCTCCCTGACAAACATATCTATACTACTTATTGTCTTGAGTTTATTTTGGACCTCGTCAACAAATTCAAGGGCAATAGTGTGGGTGAAAAAAATGCTTATCGGACATGATTCGTTGGTATGTCGAAGTTTGCAAGACATTATTGAGCATAATTCCAAAAGTATTTGAAGTACAGAAGCGAATATAGAATTAATGAACTCTCGCTCTATTCACGTAAAGGGGGAGATTGTTGGGATCGTTATGTTGTGTCAAAGGGCCATTTTGTTTGTTTATATTGTACACAGGTTGGGCCTGTCCACCCATATCTATTGTTAGGGTTAGAGTATTTAAGGTGCATGCATACATCATATTTTGGTAACTTTGGATAATATTTTGTAACCCTAATCACGCCTTTACAATATCAATTCTTAATAAAGTTCTTCTGGGGTAGTGACATTTGAATCATTAAGAATACTTTGATTCTTCCATTGTGTTCTTATTTCTTTAATGATTAGAATCAAATCGATCTTCAAGGATTAACATCTAAACAGAGCTATGAACTCGACTAGAACGAGCCGAATGCGAAATGGTTGAAGTAACTCGACGAGTTGCATAGTTAACTCAACGTGTTAGATAATGTTTTCTTGCTTTCTGGATTATGTGTAAACTCGACGAGTGGGTGAGATGAATCGACGAGTTGATGAGGGTTTTCCCGATCTTCTGGACACAGAAGAACTCGACGAGTTACTCAGGTAACTCGGTGAGTCGACTCGAGTTTTCAGTTTATAGGTTCTGAAGGAACTCGACAAGTTACTAAGGTAACTCAACGATTTGACCCTAGTTTTCGGTTTTCGAGTTCTGGAGGAACTCGACGAGTCAATGGATGAACTCGACAAGTTAGGTCAACATGGACTGTTGACCTTAACCATTGACTTTGAATTCGACCAGGGGTTGACCAAGTTTGACTTCTGAGGGTATTTTGGTAATTTAAGACTTTATGGAATTGGATCAATGGTGGTTGTAGGTGTTTAAGTTTTGAGCCGTGCTTCGGGAGTTTGATCTTTTCAGTTCGCTATAGTTCAACATTGTGAGGTGAGTTTTCCTTAATATACTCATGGGTCGAAGGCTCCAAGGCCGGACCTTGGGATTGTTATTCTACTTTATTACTGTTATGATCTATTAGATCGAAATCCTGGTAGATAAGATGTTTTTATGTGGTTATGATATGTTAGATCGATATCCTAGTAGATAAGATGTTGCTATGCTTAGTGATCTGTAGATCAGTTTGATTATCTATAGAATGTTATGTGATTATCTTATATATGTGCATATGTGTGATTGGTGGTTGAGGCTCTTCTGCTTGTGCATGAGCCAACAGACCGGGCATTACAACCCGATGGTTGTGGGCCGAGAGTATTCCATCCCGAGGATGATTGGACTCATAGTATATGCATTCCAACTCGATGGTTATGGGCCGATGATATACCATCCTGAGGATAATTGGACCCAGGGTATGTTGGCATTCCAATCTGATGGTTGAGGGCACGGGGCATTCCAACCTGATGGTTGATTGGGCCTATAGTATGTTGTTATTATAGTGTGTTATTTATTATGCGGGTATTTTGGGGGAACTCACTAAGCTTCGTGCTTACAGTTTTGGATTTTGTTTCAGGTACTTCGGATGATCGTGGGAAGGCGAAGGCGTGACCGTACACTTCCCCATTTTATGATTATGATTTCTAGGAAAACTCTAATATTAATTTATTTTGAAAACAGTTTTTAAACATTACTGGTTTTGGATGATTTTGCAAACAATTTATGAACTTGGGTTGATTTTGAAAAGTTAAAATTTTTTTAGTGAATTTTTATGGACGTTACACTGCTCCTGCTACCTTGAGTATTACTGATGGTCGGCCGGGGAAGGCCGAGGCTTTGAGGGCTCATAGGAGAGATTTTCAACTGACTGTAGAGGAGGTTCGTGCAGCACCTGATCTCGTTGCTGGTATGTATCTCTTATTTATATTGCTAATTTGAATTTATTATGCTTATGTTGTGTTTCTTGTTAGGTAGTTTTCTTGTGAATTCTATGCCTGCTTTAGCGTTATTTGACTCGGGTGCGAGTCGATCCTTTGTGTCCTTATCCTTTAGTTGTTGTTTTAGCACCAGGCGCAAGGCCTTGAGTTGGCCATTGAGGGTTTCTATAGCTGATGAGCATGCGGTTTTTGCTGCGGATGTCCTTTGTGGTTGTGTTTTGGAGATTTTTGGTGTCAGGTTTCCAATTGATTTAGTATCGATAACGATGGGGGATGTCTGTGTTATAGTGGACATGGATTGGTTGAGTCGATTTTAGGATTTGATTGATTGTGAGCGACAATCAGTGACTGTTCGGGAATCAAGTGGGGAGTGCTTACTATTTATGACGAGGGTACTGCGTTAGGATCAACTTTCTGTTCTGCCGCCAGGCAAGACAAATTATGTAGCATAGATGTATGGGTTTCCTGGCTTATGTGGTGGATACTCGGGTTGTAAATGAAGGGTCAATTTATGTTTCCTATGTTCTAGTGGTATGTGATTTTCATGATGTTTTCCTCGAGGAGTTACCAGGTGTGTCTCATGAGAGACAGGTGGAGTTCCGGATCGATCTGGCTCCGGGGGTGGCGCCTATTGCCAAGGCACCATATCATCTTGTGTCGCTCAAGATGCAGGAGTTATCCTCCCAGCTTTAGGAGCTGTGAGGGAAGGGATTCATTCGGCCGAGTAGTTTGTCGTGGGGAGAACCAATCCTTTTTTTTCAAGAAGAAGGATGGTTCACACCAGATGTGCATCGTCTAACATGAGTTGAACAAGTTGATGGTTAAGAACAACTATCCGTTGCCGAGGATCAACAACCTATTCGACCAGTTGCAGGGGGTGTCTTGGTTTTCCATGATCGACTTGAGATCTATATATCATCAGATGAGGGTCCGTGAGGAGGATATTTAGAAGACAACCTTTTAGACTCGTTGTGGGCATTATAAGTTCGTGGTGATGCCTTTTGGGCTCACCAATTCACTGGCAACGTTCATGGACCTCATGAACCGGGTGTGTAGGACCATGTTGGACCAATCGGTGATTGTTTTCATTGATGATATTTTGGTATATTCGAAGTCTAGGAAACAGCATGAGGAGCATCTTTGGGAGATTCTTGGGGTATTGAGGATGGAGAGGCTTTATGTCAAATTCTCTAAGTACGATTTCTAGTAACGAGAGGTGCAGTTCTTGGGGCAACTCATTAATCATAACAATATTTTGGTTGATCCAGCCACAATTGTGGCAGTTATGCAATGGGAAGTGCCAATATCTCCATACGAGATACGGAGCTTCCTTTGTCTCGTAGGTTATTATCAGAGATTTTTTAGGGATTTTTCAAAGATTTTTGTTTCTCTCACCAAGTTGACCAGGAAGGATGTTGTTTTTATTTGGGGGCCTGAGCAGTAGGCATCATTTGAGACCCTTCACTAGAGCTTGTGTGAGGCTCTAGTGCTCGCCCTCCAGAAGGGAGTGGAGGAATTTGTAGTCTATTGTGACACATCTATAGCTAGGTTCGGAGTTGTGTTGATGCAGAGAGAGCACGTGATAGCATATGCATCGAGGAAACTAAAGCCTCATGAGACGAGGTATCCCACCCATGATTTGGAGCTGGGGGAGGTGGTATTCATCCTCAAGATTGGGTGTCATTATCTCTATGGTGTCCGGTGTACCATATGTGACAACTCGAAAATTCTATCTTATAACAATCCCTGCATTCAATCAAAGTCAAACTTTCAATTGCTAAAGTTTAGCAGTTTTGGAGTCAGTTTGAGTGTTCTAAAGCCTAGTACTGCAAGAGATAACTGGAGAGAGGATACTTTAGGGTAAAGTGTGCAACATGTAGGTTCCAAAACTCTAAGAAAAGGGAGTTTACGGCCCAAATGGTATTGGGGCCGTAAACCCTAAAGACTATGTAAGTGGCACTTAGCCATTTTTGTCATTTTCCACCATTTTCAAGCCCTTAACCTCTTTCTCTCTTAAGTATCATCACTAGATCTTCAAACTTAGTAAGTATTCCTTCCTTGATTAGTTGATTAACTTCATTATCTAGTGTTTGTGAATGATTTCATCCATTAAATCTCTTCATTTGATAGATAATCAAGTGTTCTTCAAGAACACCAACAACACACACTAGTGTTCTTGAGCCTTAAGCACCCTTTCAAGCTTCTACACTGTAAGTACTCTTGTCTTGGCTTGTTCTATGCTTGAATCAACTAGATTACACTTAGAAATCATCAAGAAATCATGATCACAAGTGAGTTTACGGCCAAGGAACCTTCTTGGGCCGTTAACTCTATTTAAGGGTCCTAATGAGCCCTAATCCCTTCCAAAGACTTGGGATCAAGTCTAGAACACTTCTATCATAAGATAGGGACATTAAACTTTTATTTGGTACAAGATACCATGAGTTTACGGCCATAAAATCATAGGGAAATGGTCCTTGGGCCGTGAACACAAGTTAGTGGTGCAATGGTGCCACCATTCCTTCCTAGGGATTAGACTTGAGCATAGAACACTTCATATTGGCTTATAATACCGTAAGCCACAACTTGAAACTTAGTACCATGAGTTTACGGCTGTAAACTCATGAGGAATTGGTCTTTGGGCCATAAACTCATGTGGTTCCTACCATATGGACCATAAACTCCCAAGTGAGGCCCTACACACCTTATGTGCAACCCTATGTGGTTTAACACTTCAGTACAATTGTTTCCTAGTCCTTAAGGTTGTTCCATTACCTAATTATTTGTTATAAACACTAATTTTAAACATATATGTGTCTTTATATGTCAAATAGGACCTGTGTGTGCTTAAGTCCTCACTTGACACTTAGCATCCTTTACCGATCCTAGTATCGCATCACTCATTTCAGGTGAGTTCATACCCCTTAATTAACCTTTTAAATTCCTTTGCATAATTTTAAATGCTTTTAATTGGGGGGGGGGGTGGGGGGAGGGGATACAAGTTGAATATCATAGTTATTATATCAATCACATGTGATTAATAACAATCAACCATATGGATTTACTATACTTTCAAACCGTTCTATAAAACAAACTAC